AAGGGCTTGTACCTAGACTGTTAATTTACGCTAAAACATAAATATTTATATTACTTCCTTTTCCCTCAAACTTCTTCCGCTTATAATAGCTCCAGAACTAAGTAGCTGCTTTCCTGACATTTTTTGTGGTACTATGGGTATTTTTATGGACTTTTAAGAGACACACATTGATATAGCCACATGCTAGCGGGCTTTCTTGTTGAGGGAATATCCACAGAATTTAAAGATAAAACTTTCCAGGACAGTTTTTAATGCTTTAAAAAAAAAATTTCTACAGATACTACGAGATGCATGAATGCCATGAACTAGGACTACAAAAAATCTATTTCAGATTTATAGTAATTTCTATTCCATTTTCTCAGTTTGTGGAAAATCTGTTTTATCCTATGAAACGGCTTATCCTTTCAGACAGCCAAGCCTGCTGTCCCTGGGGATGCAGCCACAGCCACCTTCCCTAAATGGAGTGAGGAGAAGAGCTGGCTCAGCAAGACCAAACCAGTGAGTTGCCCTCAGTGAGGGGCTGCTGTGCAGAAAGCAGCCTGGCCAAAGGAATGAGGTTGTAGACCTGTCATTGTCTCCAAGGAAGGAAACAAAAACTTTTCTGATCAACAGCCTTCAGCATTTCTGAAAAAAAAAAAAAAAAAAAAAAAAAAAAAAAAAAAAAAAAAACAAACTAAAAAAACTCCAAAACACACAAACAAAAAAAATTCCCCAAAAAACCCAACAGCAAGAAACAGCAACAGACAGGATTACAGAGGAAAGGAGAATGGAAAAATAAGTGTAAAACAAACAAACAAGAAGTTAGGGATATATCAAAAAATGAGTAAAAACAGTGTGCCAGGGTACTCCTAACAAAACATAAAGGTTTGGGACAGAATGGAGAGTTATAATCTCCAGTGTTTGCTTTTCACGGTGTGGTTCCCTTTGAGAAAAAGGGATTTTAAAAATCAGGCATTACTATAAACTAAGTATTAACACAGACTATACTTTCATAACAGGCATGAAATCAGATTTTATAATTATTATTATTATAAAATGCTTAACAATATCTCTGCTGTACTTAAAGCAGTAAAGAATACATGTTTGGCTTGATTTATTCACAAAAGTGTTCCTATCAATATGCCCTGAAACACCGAGAAGAAAACAAGACTAGAAGTGGACTTCTTGAGTATGCCAAGATCACGTTCCCCATCAGGACAGATCCTGTCATGAACTGATACATTTTATCTAAAAATAGGCAAGATTTATGCCTCCATTGCTGTGATAAAAGGCAGCCCCAGATCCCCCCTCTTCCGTGGCTGGAAGGCATCCAGCTTCCAGATAACGAACATCTATGACCAGTCCTTGCCTACTCATGTGAATGACAGGTGCAAATAACTCTCTTTCAGAAAGCAATAAACATGAGTTTTAAAACACGCAGAGATTGAGATGTGGCCTTTGCAGTCAAAGTTATAATTGCCTGATGGGAAGGGTGTATGGGTATATAATTATGCTGAAGTGAAGCTGGTAGCTGGGAAGCCATTAACAACTCACTTGGTTGATGAGAAACAGTGCCTCTGTGACAACATTTGGTTTGGTTGGCAAGTATTCATCTATTCAGAAGACACAGAGTCTGTTTGTTGTTCATTTTCAGAAACATCAGCTTCTGCTTCATACCAAAAGCCAAAAAAGACATTCTTTTTCATTTTTCATGCAATATTGAATTTTTGTTTATGACATGACAAAGGCTTTAAAAAATCTAGTGTTTATTTCTAAAACCAAATGCTAAGTAGTATAATTTTTTTTTAATATTACTTAATATATTTTAATATACTTAATGAAAACTTGGAAACCTCAGCACAAGGAATAAAAATTTCCTTTTCTTCCTTTCTTTTCAAAGTTCAAATTATTTTTGAAACCCAAAGGTTCTTTGTTTTTTTTTCAAATGGTTTTTAAACCCCACAAAATCCAAGTCAACATTAAGATAACATTATTAAAATGATTTAAAATTAGATAAGGAAAATCAAAATATGTAACAGTAGCTTTTAAAGCATACTACCTACGTTTTTACGTGTTTACAAATTGTATACAATATATATTACAGCATTATCTGTAGTATATTGTATAAAAGCGAAACCCAAAACCTTTCCTATGAAATAAGTACCTGCTCTGTTTCAACCTTTGAGTGAGTTCAGATGGCAAAAGGAATACAGTAATTTTCTTTTCTTAGTGTTTTGTAAATTTAAATTTGTAACATTACTGTTACCACCACTGAACTGTTTGCTTCGTTTTGTTTCCTGGTTTGGGCCGAATTTCTGTGATGAAGAAGCACAAAGTAAGAGAGCATACCGACTTTTAAAAAATCTGTCTAAGCCTCAGCTTCTCTAACATTGGCGATAATTCACATCATATCTGAAGCTTTCACAGAGCTCTGAGAAATAGAGATAGCTTTTAAGTTTACTTCCACATCCCCACTTGCCTGATTTCCAGCATGGCCTAGGTTCAGGGTTTTGACTGAAGCTCATTTCTTAATATTTAGCTAATTTAAATGCTAATTAGACTAATTTGATGAATAAAACGTGGTATGAATTCACTAACAACTTTGCTGCTATTGCTTTATGTCTACAGAGAAATTTTCTGAAACAGGACTCCTGGGACAGTAGCGCATCTGTTACCAGTTGAACAAGTTGGATTTTTTGTAATATTAAACCTCAGAGTTGGTAATATATTGCAGAACTGCAGAGGAGATGGAGGAACGATTTTAAATTTTCCAATTCTAGCCTATCTTGGACATAGGCCACCACTGAAGAAGAGGCCTTATGCTGCCCTGAGCCCATCTGCTTCATGGGTTTTGCTCCGAGTTTTATACACAGAAGAAGAATACGTGCCGTGTCTCTGTCTCTCATTATCAAACATGGTTGTTCCAGCTGATACTACAGCTGTTCTGCCTGACGTTGTTGCTGTCTATATGAAGAACTCAAACCATTCACCTCATGTTGACAGACTTCCATGCCTTTGTTGAGGCCCATGAAGTCAGTGAGACTCCACAGAAGTTGGAACACGTAGAAAAATGGCTAAGACACTCTCTTTGGAGGAACAGGTTTTGTGTTCTTTGTTTTGATTTGGGGTTTAGTTTACTTTTAAGTTTTTGGGGTTTTTTTGTTGTTTTTTTTTTTTTTCACCCCCTTTTTTTCTGCATCATGTGCCATTACTATAGTTAACAGGTACTTAAACGGTTGCCAAATTTTCAAGATGTGAATTTGAATCCATTCACAAGCAAAAGTTGCTCTTGGGCTTAACTAGGTCACTTAATTTTAGTCTGAAAAAGACAGAAATTAAGTCGTCCTATGGAGAACTTCCACAAGATTTTATAAGAACAAAAAAGAGGCTTCTCTAAAAACCACATGCCCTTCTGCAAAGCTCGCAGGTGCCGTGTTACGGCAGTTTAGTCACAGCTAAGCTTCTCTTAAACTGTATTCCTGTTTCAGAAGCTCTGAGTTAACGCTATCTTTTTCAGATCCTCCAGGGTTATTCCTCAAGCAACACTGTTGAAGAAACCTGGCTTCCTTTCACATACGTAGACAACCATACTCAAAGTGGAATATCTTTTCTATACAACACTGTTACTATGTAATGCTGCTTGTCTGTGAGGGATGTACAGGGCATCCTTCTCTGAATATACAAGGCTGGCACAGGAATTGCAACGCAGTCAGAAGTGAAATGGTCCTGTGTGGAACGCTGTCAACAGACAGCATTGTAATGCAAACAAAAATGCAATCATTTTTCACAGGGAAAATGAGCTTACTCTGCTAATCTGACCGGTAATTTGCTGTTCAACTGAAGATACTCTTTCAGTGATTGAGGTCTATAGCTTGTTCCACTCTAAATCAGCAGTATTTATGTTATGCCAGCTCCTCTGATTCCTAGCTCATTATTTTCCTATGTCATCTTAAATTGAGTTTAGAACTTACGAGAACTGATAGCACTGCAAATGATGACCTTAGTGTATCTCAGTGAAACCAGTGTATCTGACAACAAGCACATGAGCCTCATGATGCTGAGCCTTTCTGAGTCTTCCAGTGTTTCTCAGACACAATTTACCTGGAGGAGGAATAAGGTTTCACATCTAGTGTGTCACTCATGGCTGAAACTGACAACAAGGAAAGCATTGGTGATAAAGTTTTGATGCCATGGGGATGTTTGTATAATATTTAGTGGCAGAAAGCATAAACTTATGTTGTCCTTTGTGAATTTTGTATGATATGGAAGCTTTTTGTTTATAGTGGTTTTGGCTTTGTTGACCTGCATGTACTATAAGGAACTAAGGTCTTACAGTGTGTGAAAAAAAAAGAAAACTTTTGCTGGAAAAAAAAAAAAAATTATTTTAGACTCTGATCTCACCCTATGTCAGCTCCCATGAACAAATTATTCTGTCATTATTTAGTTTACCTATAGAACAGCAAATTCTATGGGGCTGTCTAAAATATCCCCCAGATTTTGGGGAAATAGGGATTCTGTTCCATACCTGCTAAAGCTTTTCTCAAAACTGATACACAAAGTGGAATATGCAACTGATACATCTCAAAGGCCTGTAAGCACCTTTCATCTTCTGAAAATAAATATATCTCATGTATAAATTTTGAGTCCACATATGTATTTAGATAATTATGATGAAAAAAAACACCCAAAAACAACCAGTGGCCAATAGAAACATAAATATCTTTGCAGATCTGGGCATTACTATTTCTTTTCCTTAGTTTTCTACCTGTAGATATTATTCTACCTCACGGAGGAACTCAAAAAATAAGCAATTACAGTAGTGGTGGAGGCCACACAAACATAATAATTAAAAGGGGATAGGAAGGAATGTAATGGAAATCACCTGTACTAAGAATACCATTTATCAGTGATATAGCTCTAAATAAGTTCACCACTATTTTCATTTAGTTCTGTGCCTGTTGGTTTTTTGTTTGTTTGTTTAAAGTTTTGTTCCTGAATGCCAGAGATGAAGGTAGTTAAGTTTACAAGGACTGCAAATGGAGGTCTGTACTCACTTCCACATGTTGACAAGTTTGAATGAGTTTTGCCAATAGAGTTTCCAGTTCAGTATTCCTCTTAATAAGGTTGGTGAGGTTACTCTCCAAATTTTGCTGTCAAAAAGAAAGAAAAGAACACATTAGCATTTTGAAGAATTTATTGTATAAGTTTTCTGGATCTAAATTTTGTAATTACACAGGTGTGAACATAAGACTTTTATTTTGATATGCTACATTAGATGTTTTGTCTATGCATTAAGTATGACAAGACAAGAGCAGAAAAGTTCAAGGTAAGAGCAAGTTTTAGAAAATTTCTAAGGACCTACTGAAAATGAGATTACGCAATTAGTTTTAGGGCTAGGGTCGGGGTGAGAAAGGGAAGAAGCAAGGAGATTGCACTTTTAAATACCCAGTACATGGGTCAGCACTTTCCTCTTGGGATTCACAGTGCTGGGGAGGACTGTCTAACTGATTTAATTCCATAGTTCACTTAAGCTTTATTTTTTAATAAATAATTCTAAAAAGAAACATCTTTTCTGCACAGAAGAAATATCTGTTCACAGATTGCGCCTTCTCTAACTGTTCTTAAGAAAGAACTTGTGGCTTGAGTCTGTGTTTATCAGCTAATTATGACTGCATTAAATATCTGCAACTGCAGGAGAGCAGAGTGCTTTTCAGCTTCCAGATCTGGGGCCATACCCTGGCCACTGGGCAATTGCATGTGAGATTGAGCAACCAGTGCTTAAGCCTGCCTTCTCCCCTCCCTATGCACAGGAAGGAAATCCAAGCACATGAGGAGGAGGGGGAGGTCTGTGATGGCTGTGACCTGACCTGGCCTGGCTGCCTTAGCACCAGGACACTGCTGTGCACGGTGGAGCTTACAGCTACCAGCTCCTCGTTTTTTACCACACATCCTGAGGTAGCTGCTGTTTCACATGAAAGACCATCTTCTGGGAGCATGTGGGCACAAAAAGTCCTTTTTTTTGCACAAAATGCAAAGTTTCCACAGAGATAAAAAAGCCCTGTAAGGGTAGCTTAAGGACATAAAAAAGAAGAATAAAAAGAAGTAAACCATTAGAGAGTCCTGACCGTAAATACTCATTTATTTCAGTGACTTTAGGTGCATATACTTCATTTGAAAAACCTGAGGGCTGCTGGCATGACAAGATGTTTCTCATGGTTATTCACCTATGTAAGTGTGCAAGACTGGTCCCTTGCTTAGTATTCCTGACAGGCTGACAGTCCCTGCCTTTTAATTGTACTTTGTCCTCCGAGTAGTCCCCAGTACCTGGGAAGTACTGAAAAGAACACCAGGATGAGGCCCTGTACTTCTCTCCACACAAGGGCTGTAGTGTCTCTGCAGAGCTCTCATTAATTTCATCTCTCCTCAACTTTTATTAATGGGCTTCTTTCCCTCACATTACTACTTTTCCTCCTGATGTATCTATTCCATCACTTAACTCCCTTCAGCTACCATTAACTCACTTTTCTCATTTTTCTCATCCTCCCCTTACCACCTCCATGCACACATATAATGTGGGAGTGAGAGTGTGTGAGAGAAAGAGTACATTTGGGTTGGTTGGTTTGTTTTCTGGCAGCATCACTCCCTATTTCATGCTGTTTTAAAGCACTTTGTTCCTTGCTCTCCCCTTCTTCATCCATGCAGTCTGTTTACTCCTCCTTGAATTAGGCTACAAACAAATGAAACTGGCAGTATTTCGTCAGTGAACCATGCATACATTGGCATTTACCGGGGCTGATGCTGTAAACACCACAGGAGCAGTCAGTCCTGTTCCATTAAAGATAGCAGAGGATTTTGATGACTTTACATGCATAACCCTTCTGAGAAGCATGATGGGTGTTTAAAGTACATAATTTTAGCATTTTCTTTCCAGCACAGCCTTGCATATCATGTATCGCAAGCTCTGACTGTAAAAATACCTTCTACACAGTATTTATTTTACAACCCATTAAACCAAAGAGAAACAAGAATGGGCATTCTTTACCTAACAGTTTGAGCTGTATCTTGTATTTCCATAAGCGGCACTGTAGACAATCATTTAATTGCAAAAGCATGTTTGCTGTGCTGTTAGATGTCCCTTTGTAGAGCTGAGACTCACGTGCAAAGTCAAAATACCATATATAGTTACAGTATCAGATAACCTTTGTATTTAATACCAGTTTGTTAAGGGGATCCAAATGTGCAAATACTCTTGAAATGACATTTATATAACTTTTTTTATACCTTGCTCGTACACACATTGTGAAGGTGTTCTAACACTTTATACTAGAAGTTTTAAAAGAAAAAATTAATATCTTTCATTAATATTGGCTAATTTAAAATTTATTATTTGACATAACAAATACTAACAGTCAGGACCTATACATACTATAAAGAAAAAGTGTCCTTAGAGCTATTGTGGAACACTTTAGCGATTTTAAATAACCTGAAAGTATCTTCAACTGAGGCCATTAACACATAAAGGGTAAATATTTTTCTCTGAAACAGAAATTTTTTTACCCATAGATTAGACAAGTGGTGTTCCTCAGGGGTCAGTACTGGGACCAGTGCTGTTTAAGTTCTTTGTTGGTGACATGGACAGCAGGATTGAGTGCACCTTCAGCAAGTTTGCAGATGACCAAGCTGTGTGGTGCAGTCAACATATTGGAGGGAAGGGATGCCATCTGGAGGGACCTTGATGGGCTGGAGAGGTGGGGCCATGCCAAACTCAAGAAGTTCACCAAGGCCAAGTGCAATATCCTGCACCTGTGTTGGGGCAATTCCAAACACAAATACAGGCTGGACAATGAGTGGATTGAGAGCAGTCCTGAGGAGAATGACTTGGGGGTGCTGGTGGATGAAAAGCTCAACATGAGCCAGTGTCCAGCTCTGTAGCCCCCAACACAAGGACATAATCCTATTTGAGTGTGTCCAGAGGAGGGCCATGAAGATCATCAGGCAGCTGAAACACCTCTCCTATGAAAACAGGCTGAGAGAGTTGGGATTGTTCAGCCTGGAGAAGAGAAGACTCTAAGGAGACCTCCAGCAGACCTGGCCTTGCAGTATCTGAAGGACACCTACAAGAAAGCTGAAGAGGGACTTTTTATAAGGGCTTATAGCGACAGGAAGACGGGTACTAGCTTGACAATGGAAGTGGGTGGATTTAGATTAGAAATTAGGAAGAAGTTCTTCTCTGTACGAGTGGCAAGACACTGCAACAGGTTGTGGATGCCACACCCCTGGAAGTGTTCAAGACCAGGTTGGATGGGGCTTTGAGCAACAGGGTCTAGTGGGAGGTGCCCTTGCTCATGGCAGGGGGTTTGGAACTAGATGATTTTAAGGTCCCTTCCAACTCAAACCATTCTATGGTTTTATCTTGGATATTTTCAAATCCTGGATAAAGAACAAAATTTTAGAATAACTTTCCTATCCAGTGAATATAAACATAAACCCATAGATATTATTACAGTTTCACACCAGTCTCTTGATGACCTCTGTATTTCCCAACCATGTAAATGTAGGATAAGTACTAAACAAGTGAGTTGCCTTACAAAAATTAGAGTTAATGCACTCCCATGCTCTAGCTTCTTGAACTGCATCATTTTCCAACTGGAAAGCATGGCTATTTGTTTTCATGGAGTTTGGTATGCAAGAAATTGAAGTCTTTTTAGGTCAAGAAGTATCAGAATTTTGTTAAACTTTTGTTGAAGAACATCAGTTTATATTAATGTTTTACAAGATAGCAAGGAAGTGTCTTTGGGCAGTATCTTCCTCCAGTTCTTTCTCCTATTGTATTTCTTTATGGAGCATGGTACTACTTTGTCTACCATGTGATAGCAGTGGTATCCTGCCCTCTTTCTGTACTCTGTATAAGAGGAGGAAAAAAAAAACAAACAAACAAACCTGAAAGATGTTTAAGTTTCAGAAGCAGAATTTTGCTCACAGATTTTCCAAAATGTCAGAAACTCCTTTCACATCCATACCTCAAACTTCTCAGGTTGTATAAGACTTCATTGCCAGATCTAAAACTCTGGCCCTCTTGAAAAATTGATCCAGTGCTGTAGACCAGAATTCCTGGGATAGTGAACCATAGACCAGGTTTTAAGATTGGAGAAAGTGTGCTCTCACATTATGATGAGTACACATAAAAATGACTGGCAGAATAAGCTTATTCAAAGCATCTTCCTTCCTCTCACCGAGCCTTGTACTGCTGTTCTCTTGTGAATCAAATTACAACTGTATTTTGGAAACATTCTATGTAAATCATAATTTCGTAAACATTTGCCCCTACCTTTTCTTATATTTTGTTTTGTGTGACTTGTCAATTTTCATTGCCATCTGTCTGTTAAAAATTGATATAAGAAATGCCAGGGTTGTTTTTTAAAAGGACAATAGCTGCTATACATTTGCTCTGTGAACAGGCTTCACGCATGTTAACTCAGTGAATGCAAAATGCTCTCAAAAAGCAAAAGCCAGATTGAATGCTCCCTGACTTAGCAATGCAGACCTAGCCCAAGATCTTGACATTCCGTGCGTGCTTTGCAACTGTTTTTACAGCATCCAGTATAAAGTGAAAAGAATGCTTACTGTCCATTTGGCATGGTCTGACAACTATACAACATAAATATTCCTATAATCTTGGGATAAATCCAAGTAGATGAAATCACAGACATGTAATTGAAAAGGACAGTTGAAGATGAGGTTTCATTTTGACTCTGCATGCCTATAAAATGATACGATCCAGGAACTGGAGTCTGAAGTTGGAAAATTAATGCTAAAAGTAGAGGAAGACAACTCAGGATTGAATGACTTTTTTAAGCTGCTGCCTAGCTCACCCTAAAGTTATGATCTTGTTAGAGTAATGATTGTGTGAGGCTCGTGCCCCGATTGAAGTGGGAGGTCAGACTAGATGATCATAATGGTCTCTTCTGGCCTTTAAATCTATCAGTCTATGAAAACCAAATGTGAACCCATGCCCTTTGCCAAATTAACAGTCTCACGAAAAGTACTGCTTGTCTGAAATAGGAAGGTAGCACAAACAGATAGTCCTAAGCTACTACATGGGTTAGAAATGCTGTCAAAATAAATTAATGTAAGCTTCTAAAGAAGAAAA